TAACTGACAAAATTAACTTTGCCCTACTATGTGGTATAGAGTTTTTCACAGTTACAAGGAGTAAGACAAGCTGCTAATGATCTAAAGCTCTCTGAAGACAAAGAAAGTCATTCCAGGGAATTCAGTGAGAATTGATGAGGCTTGAAATATCTCTTCTGCTTTACACCTGGACTGATGAACTGATCTCTGCTGAAGGTATATGAATGTAACAGAGGAGTGGAGAGGCATCCTCGCATAATTCAGGGGCTCCCAATCTCTGTGGGATATTTTGTTAACAGAGTACAGCTATTTCAAGAGAACATGCACAAAATCAAACACAAGCCTTATGCTTTTCCCTGCAGAAATGGCTGTCTGTGAGGGGAATAACCATGCACAGTGTCTGGGTCCTGCATCCGGACAGGCAAAGAGGCATCAAAGAGGCCAGAGGCACCATTTATGTCCGATCTCTCTTTCCAGGAAAGTTATACTCATATATTTATAAATATTTTTTAAATTTAGCACTGATTTTCACTAGAATACCAAAAAATGCACATGGCTACCCATATTTAACTGGAGATCATGGCACCACTGAAAGTGCTTCCCAAAGAAAAAGTGTTCTGGCTTTTTTTTCATCATCAAAACAAATCATTTTTCCTTTTCCCTCCATTTTGGAAATGGCAAGACCATTCTAGATCAAATCATAAAGTACAAAAAGCCACATATCAGCCAACATCACCAACGGCCAAAGAATAAAATAAATCTATACATATTATCCTCTACATCTGTTCCCTGGCACGTGTCAATTAATACTAACTATTTAATTTTTTACACAACACTTTCTTGACCAAATTTAGAAGATGATGCAGAAGGTACTTGGCACCCTTATGATCAATTATTCTGAAGTGTCTTGCTGTGCCATAGGTCTGCATGTACATTGTGCTAAGTACTAACAAGAATGTACACTCATATATCCCACCAGCAGTTTGCTAACCACAAATGTCTGCAGTTTGCACAGTTCCCAAACATCCACATTCTCTATAGAGTCACATACTCCAATAGCATAAACCATTCTGACAGAAAGGATGGGGAATGCATTGTTCAAGAGACCCAGTAAGGCTGCATTCCTGCTCCATGCAGTCTTCTGAACAATGTAAATACAATGAACATTTAAGTATGCCCATAAAAGAGCAAAAAACTCACCAAACAAATTTGCCTAGAAAATGTTCTCTTTGCTGCAGCCACCCTGATCAGCTGGAAGGGAACTTTTTAAAGACAACTACTGAACGCTAAGTTTGTCAGGTTGATGGTTTTCTCCTCTGAATTTTGTATCATTCTCTGGTGAACCAAATGCTCACTGCAAGGATGTTTAGTACTGCTAGGTTTGAGGCCATGGTTTAGGGCAGAAGAACAAGGTATGAAAAGTCTACAGGAATCAATATGATCCTTATGTGAGCTGCAGTTAAGGCATACAGAGGGTGAAGCTGGGTCTCATTTCATTTCCCCTCTGCATCACTGCTATCATGGTCAGAGGCTACTCAGCAATTGGATGGGGAATTTGGTGATGGAAAATATTGTTCTTCCTTGCTTTCTCCCAATATGGTATTCTTGATTTTCCTGTCCTTTTTTTCAGTGGTGATGGATTCTCAAGCATAGCACATAGGCCTATGTTTCTGTAGTGTGAAGCATCTTTCATGCTTGGGAGATCTCAACCAACAGCTAATAAGAAGAACAGAATTAATTTTCCTTATGAGCCAAGGCTTTGTTTAGATGCAAGGATGGGAGATTTTGACTCTTCTTACTGAGAGATTTTTCCTCAACTACTTCTTAAAGTTATAACAGTCTTGTTATACTGACTTATTGTTGCACGGATAATCACCACACACTGGAGCACCACTTGCGTAATCATCTAATCATGTAAAAGACAAAATTAATGCAGAAGTTTCCTTAAGAGACTTCTTAAAAAGTCGATAGTCTCCATGGAAATGCAACAAATACAGACATTTCTTGCGAGCCTACTACTTTAGCAACACTTTTAACATGTGCTAATTATGCACAGTCAGCCTTCTATTACATAGTAATACTATTTGATCTCTGGAGAGCTCAGATTGTTATGGACAGCGTTGAAACTTCTTAAATTCTATGAAATATTTGTATGCTGAAATTCATGTTGACAAGAAGGCTGAAACATAGAGCTCCTCTTCCTCTCTTCATTTTAAGAGAGATAACTATTAAAATGCAAACTACATGCAGAGCTATTTGAATTCAGAGAAAAGCAAAGAATTCTATTGTTCAAAATGTTAATAGTTTTGACATGCAGTTGCTGCTCCAGGATAACCTTTGCTTTGTGGAAAGTATTTACTTGGTCATGTTTCCAGTTTCAAAAACTATCACCCTAGAGCCACATAAGTTTTGACTCAAATGACAAAATTTTTTGTCTACATCCAGAAAATGGCAAAATATCTCTATGTATGTCATATTTAGTCTCCCTTGTGTAACTGGGAGACTCTTTTTAAGGATACTGCTTAACTGTATGGTTTGAAAATAGCCTGTAAACTAACCTTAGCTTATTGATAAGGACTTAAGGAAAGTATTAAGCTTATTAAAAAATAATTAGATTACAGCCTATATTATGTGAACAGGAAAAGAGCAGGTTTTGGCTGAGAATCACTCCTTTAAAAACAACAACAACCCCCAAAACCAACCAACTGAAATAAAATCCCCAACAACCAAAAAAAAAGAAAAAGACCCATACAAACAAAAAAAGCTAAAATAGACACATTCACCACATGCTGTAAACTGAAATGTCCTGTGGAGATGTGTGTCTGTCTCCTTCAAAGACAGGGGGAATTTAGGTGCCTAATGAATTGCCTGAGATTACAATGGGTGAATCTGAGGCCTTATTATTTAGGTGGGCTAAGGCACTACAGCAAACAAATTCTGACAGCTGAACATAGAAAATGTGAAACTGGAACAACAGGAAACCACTAGTTAGGAAACACTAGAGATCACTGTGTAAAACACATCAGTTTAGATGCAAGAGATTTTGGAAGGTGCAGTTTCTCTGAACACCACAGTCCAGATTAACCACAAACTATTTAACCACATGGTATCTGACTACTGATCTTTACCCATGCTTGTGAGGTTTTGTTTGCGCAAGAGTTTCCCGGGACTTGACCTGTACTGCTTGCAGATGACGGGTTTGTTCAAAACAGGCAGTACTAGTGTAATCTGGCCATATGTGTCTATACTGCAAATATTAAAGCTCCTTTTAGAAATGATATGCATCTTGACAGTCGTAATTCTCAGGGTTAATGGCTTCTTCAACCAAGTGCTTTGGGATGTGGGTTACTCAAACCTCTTCCTAAGTAAACAATGCTGTTAGAGGTTGAGGGCGATGGAGATTCTTCCTTTTCCCACTGCATGTTTTCTGGAGAGGAGCTAATCGCCAAAATTTTAGAACTGCCTTTACCTTCTCAAATTGTGCCTTTTTCTCTGGTCTCTGTTAAAAGACAGATTAATGAAACCATTCACTTTGGCATGTCACCCAGCAAAGGACAACACAGTTTACAGTGAGGGCTGGTGGTGAGAACAGCTGTGCTACCATGGGGGAAATCTCAGAAAGCAGTTCACGTGTGGAAGGCAGGTCCTTCTGACAGGCTCTCTACAAGTAAGTGTACACGGGGTTTCCAGTCATGCATATTTGTTCTCCTACATGAAAGAGAGATGTAGACCTCCTGCTTCCCACAGTGCTCTACCAAGGTAGAGAAAAAGCCACTAAATTATTGCTGTCTGGAACATCAGGCACTGCCAATCAGTGTATTATGTATTCAACACTGCATTGTAAATTATATAGGATCAATGATACCAAAAGCCTTGTTAGTTTCATTATTCTAAAAGAACCCAGGTGTTTGGGAAAAAGAGAAGAGACACTATCTTAATGGGAAGCTCTGGGAGAGGTAACAGTATCAAAATCCCTCCAAAATTTCAGAAAAGTTTGTGCATGAACCTGTCTATGCGATGATGATTTTAATGAATATATGAAACTTAAATTTTTGCAGTTAAGACTACTAAATCCCTCCTATAAATTAATTTCAGTGTGTTTGGCCTCATCTGGTCCAAGTTATGTTGATTCCTAAAATAAGAAACAGGGAAGAGACCACTGCACACTGAGAGGTAGACAGGCAAAGGTAGGGAGGACCTAGGATACTTCTAAGATCACAGGAAGACAGGAAGGAAAAATCACACAGGAAGACATTTAAGGATGACATGGCCCACACAAAGTAGGCTTCCAATAATCCCAGACTGAAATTTTTATTTTTAAACTATCAGGATAGAGTGGTAATATTTTCTTCCTTTTTAAAAGTGCTAGGGAATTTTTTTATTCCTTCTGATGTAGAACATTTGCTTTTAAGTTGCATGACAAGTTCTCATCACTGTTCTTGCACAGAAAAATTACTCTGCATGCATATTTTAATGAAAATACTCACTTGAAAATGCTGGTCATCATATTTTCAATACATGTGTCTGTCATATTAGAAGGAAGCATACTGTAGGTAACTAAGGTTAATAATAACACTTCAGAAATTACATTATGCCTCATTCCAATACATGAAAAATAATTATTGTGGCAAAGGGATCCTTTTTTTAAAGTAGACTAACAAATTAAAAAAATGGACACTTACAAGAATCAGAAAAATTTCTGGCTTGAAGAAAATAGATATTAAAAAGAATAACAATATGTATGTTTCAGGCTCTGCTTAATCACAGGAAGGAACCCCTGATATACTTTTTTTCCCCCTCACTGTAATACATCAGATGGTGAAACTTTGAATTTTTAAACTCTGGTGTTTGTCTATGTTGTCAACTACTCTTGCTAGGTATTGGAGGAGACGGACCATTTTCCTGCTTTGGTAGGTCAATAACTCATGACAGAACTCTACTGTACTCTGCCTCAGGAATGCATGGCAAAACTGCAGGGGTCAAAACACTTTTCACTGTATTTTCTTTAGTAATACATTTACCCAGGACCCACGGTAATATCATCCACTCGACGATGGTTGGTGGCGGTCCCTGCATGCTCAGGTCTGACCTGTCGATGTGCTGAGAGGCAAGCAACAGCAGGAACAGAAAAGTCAAGTAGGATGCAGTATGGCAGATAAATTTGATAAATGGCTTTCTGATGAACAGCCCTAATGGGCTTTTAGGAGCTATCAGGTAGCACACAGAGAAGACTGGAAAAAGGAGTCCTATCACAACACATGTCAACATCTTCACAACCCAGTGTCGCCTCCGCCATCCGGGGAACTCGTCGTACCAGCGGGATGCGAGCAGCTGCTGGCAGTTGGGCTGAGCAACAAACTACAGAGAGAAGAAAGGAAGACAATTAGTTTTTTGTTACCTCTGCAAAGTTCTTTGCATGCTACGTCCGTTAAGTAATTTTTAGATAGAGATTTAAAAAGAAAAAAAATCCATAGCCTATGCAAGCTCACCCACACTGACAATATCAGTAAGACAGGGCCAGGTCAGCCTGCCTTTCCTTCAATGCAAAAAGTATACTACAAAGCTATCAGCATTTACTTTTCACAGTAAAGCTTGACTTCCCCATACAAGGAGCCAAAAGATTGCAACACAAGTATTTCCATTATTTAACCAGCAACATTTCTGGAGAATTCACAGAACATGAGGTGGAAGCCAATATGAAACGAACAGCACAACTGAAATCTGTAAGCAGTGAAACTGAATTCCACAGCCATGAACAAACTCTTCTCAGTATGTTCCCTGCTAACTCTCTAAAAATCAGGCTTACATGTTTTAATACTGACAAAACTCTTAAAAATACATGACTAAAGTCTTTCACGATAGGAACTAAGCACTAGCATTCCCCACTGTTTCACTAACCCTTGCCAGGATATACTCCTGTCCTGTGCAATATTTTATGCTCTGTCTGATCCTTAAAATTTAATTTCATCAAAAAACCTCAAACTCATATTTAATATTTTTCAGATAGTTTTTTACAGGAGCTTTAAGTATATTCAAGGTTTTATGTCATACCTTTCACTGATCACTAGTTCCTGTTTCCCTAATGTTTTCTTTTATAAAGGGGACACAGAGTAACCCTATCCTAGAGTTGACACAAAACGCATAAAATAGAAACAAACAAACACAAGCCTCCACAACAAACAATAAAACAACAAAAAAACAAACCAATTGCATAAAACAAACAAATAAGTGGGAAAAAAACAAACAAAAAACCCGCAACAACACAAAAAGAGAAAAGAAAGAAAATAAGCATTTTTCTTCTGTTACTGTGGTGAGTTGACCCTGCTGGATGCCAGGTGCCCACCAACACTGCACTATTACTCCACTCCTCAGCTGGGTAGGGGAAGAAGAAAAGATATAAGGAAAGGCTAGTGGGTCGAGATAAGGACAGAGAGAGATCACTCACCAGTTACCATCACAGACAAAACAGACTCAACTTTGGGAAATTAGTTTATTACTCATCAAAGCAGAGTAGGATAAACAGAAATAAAAGCAAATCTTAAAAATAGCTTCCTCCTACCCCTCCCTTCTTCCCAGGCTTAACTTCACTCCAGAATTCTTTATCTCCACCTCTACACTGGTGCAGAGGGATGGGGAATGGGGGCTGAGGTCAGTTCATCACACATTGTCCCTTCTGCTCCTTCCTCCTCAAGGGAAGGAATCCTCACACTCTTCCCCTGCTCCATCGTGGGGTCCCTTCCATGGCAGACAGTGCCCCGTGAATGACTACGACATGAGTCCTTCCCTCTGGCTCCAGTTCTTCATGAGCTGCTCCTGTGTGGGTCCCTTTCCACAGGGTGCAGCCCTTTCAGGAACAGACTGCTTCAGCATCGATCCCCCATGGGGTCACACATTCTACTAGAAAAATTTCTCCAGTGTGGGCTCCTCTCTTCACAGGTCCTGCCAGGAGCCTGCAGCAGTGCAGACTTCCCATGGGGTCACAGCCTCCTTTGGCCATCCACCTGCTCCAGTGTGAAGTCCCTTAGGGACTGCAGGTGAGTATTTGTTCCACCATGGACCTCCATGGGCTGCACGGGGACAGTCTGCCACAAGATGGTCTTCTTCACCACCTGCAGGGGAATCTCTGCTCTGATGCTCAGAGCACCTCCTTCCCCTCTTTCTCCACTGACCTTGGTGCAGAGTTGTTTTGCTCGCATATTCTCACTCCTCTGTTCCCTGTCTGAAGTTGTTCCTGTGCAGTAACTTTCCCCTTCTTAAATCTGCTATCTCAAGGTGCTACCACCACCACTGATGGGCTTGGCCTTGGCCAGCGTCAGGTCTTGGAGCCAGCTGGCATCAAACATGAGGGAAGGGAGCTTCTTACAGAAGCCACCCCCGTAGCTACCCTCACTAACAAAATCCTGCCACGCAAACACAATACACTTACACATATATGTGTATTACATACATACACTGGATTAATTATATAGTAAAGCTATGCAGAAACATTTTTTTCTCTTATAACAAAATTGTTTATTTACACCAAATAATTTCAGATTTGAACTCTAATCAAATGCACCTAGTTTGGGATTTTATATTATTTTGATAATACTTATAACCACGGGAACCAAGTTCCTTTGGGGATGAATAATAGGTAACTTCTCAAACAGTTTCTAAAATCACTGGGATTACTACTGTTAGAAAATTCTATTTAGTTTGGAATGAAATGAGAGCCAGCACCCATCTTTCTATATATGTCTGGAACTTGTCAGAATTGATAACCTGAGCCAAATTCAAACCTGTGTCATGCTAGTGTCTTTAGCAGGGACATATTTACCCAGCTGTCTCTGACTGTTGTGAAAGAGAAGAAAATTTACTCATACCATAAGAATCTTAAAAATAGCCTTACAGAAGAGTAACGGAGTGTACTACTCCATTAGGAAAAATGCATTCTCAAGGTTTCAGGGTGTTGTTTTCTAGGTAAAAATGTCTGGAATAACAGATGGTTTCAAAGTTATTTTTTAACGGAGGGGAGGTGTCCCTACAAAATTTTTACTCAATTTGCTTGAGTACATACAGATTAGTGTGTTGCTTGACTAGTGAAAACGTGAGACTTGTGGACTAATTCCTCAGTAAAATATTTTCCTCTTTTTGCCCCAGAGTGTGCCAGGTCCATGTTTTTTTCCTCAACTTCATAATATCTTCCTATTATGTATCCTGTCACCTAAAAGTAACCAGTTCTTAAGTCTCGCCTGTGCCCCCTTTCTCGACACCTTTGGGCCACCCTCACAGTATTTGGGACCCATGTGAAGGAACAGCTTTCAGTGGCTAGCAAAGACTGGTGATAGGTATAGGTAACCTACTCCTTACCAAGCACAGCCAAAAGAGAACTAATTTCTCATGCTGTAATGTCAAGAAAACTAAGTGAAAGGAGGGTTTTTTCCAATGTCCACCAAGTACTGGGCTGTCCTGGATCTGGGCAGACCAGAAATGATGCAGAGGTACCTCATGCCATGAGGAGATGCTTGCTGACTGAACCATCTGGAGAGTCCTCTACAGAGGGGTGGGTACTGGGTTGCTTAGTTCTAATCTTTAAACAGATTAATATGCAAAACTGCCAGTGTTAATAGAGAAAGCACTTTTGTGCAGGCTTAAAAAAATGTTCCTTGTCTCCTAATACCAGCGTTGGGACTGTGTTGCTAAGGTACAATGTGTTAAAGACAATGACTGTGTTCTGAGGTATAGGAAGTTTTTCAGTAAATGCAGAAAACTTTCAAATCCCAGACATCAAAGAGTCAATTTTTTAAATCATAATTTTAAAAGAAATTTAATATGACTGTGACAAGACAGTTCTAGCACTGGTTGGATCCTCTGACTATAGGAGAAAATTTATATAGAGTATACATTCAATATGCCTAGAGTCAGGGGGAGCACCACTGGTAACGTACTTTAAATTACTTACTTGACATAAAATATATAAGAAGCAATTAATGGTATGGAGCAAACATATAAAATACTATGTCAGCATTTTAGGAGCTGCATGCATAGGGAAGCAGTTCTAGTACTGCAGGAAAAGGTCTATAACAGAAAACAAAACATGTTACCTACAGATGATATAATGAATTTCTGAGAGGTCCAAATATCCAGTTTCATGCTGTTAGTTTTTATGTAACAACATACTGGCAAGGTTAGTTAACAATGTCATGAAGCAACAAAAGTATCTGGCTCTTCACTTTTCTTTCTGGTTCTGCGTTTCACTGGCCATATAAGATATGCTATGACACACTACAAAGTATTCTCTGGACAACTGGAAAACTACCCTAAATCTCTTGCTGACACTCCTTTTAAATTATGCTTTTCTGTTTCATTTATCAAGGAATTGTATGATGCTATTAAAAATGTCCAAATTAATTTTCACAAATTTGACTACTTCCTTCATTTTTGCGGTCAAGAGATTGTCATCATATGCTGTGAAATATGTTCAGTAGTGATATCAGCATTTACTACATTAGCTAAATAATGAAAGAAGTTTTTGAATGGGGAACAGTTGATGCACCCTGAAGAAAAGTGTACTCAATGGTGAACCCTACAGCCTTGTTCTTCAGCCACACAGAGAAGGGGAGCTGGTCACTGCACACTGCATCTCCCTTTTGTCCTTGTGGACCTATTTCCTCCAGAGAAAATGAGGGGAATATGTTGTGAACCTACTGTTTATCTTCACGTGTAATAAATTAGTATTTGAGTGCATACAGGAACTGGCAGCAGGGAAGCCTTCCTGGGACTCACAGTGTAAATGCTGGCTGTATAGGCTGTCTCAGAAACATTACTCACAGGTAAAAACCAGTTCTACAGATCAAGTAAGTTTATTGGTGGTTATTATATTTTATTACTGATCCTGAATTCTTATTACACTTGAACTTTTGATTTATCCACTGAAAAGCTCTTCTCTACAGAAAAAAAAGAAAAAAGAAAAAATGTCTTCATGGCAAAATTTTTTGGTCAACTGACATTTCTACTATAACTACTATAAACCTTTCTATTAAAAAGAAACAGTAGAACTGGGTGGAAAAAATATAGTTCCAAGCATAAGACAATTCCTGTATAAATGGATGGCATCACATCTAAGATGATCACATATTAAAGCTAAGTGGACATATAAGTCCTCTGCTGAACTAGGAGCTAAAAATTTTTTTAAAAAAATATTTTACACAAGTATTTTGTGACTAGCAGAAATAGAAATACTCTGTGACATTATTTGCCAGTTCTGCATTGCTATGCAAAAATATTTTCATGGTAGTATAATTTTTCTTCCTTAATTGGAGATATAATATTCTGAGGTATTCCCTTACTATTCTTGAGTATCTTTTGTACTGTCAGTA